AGAACTGCATGTTGCCTCCCGTAGGACTTCTTTTCCCAGCTTGCTTGATGTGTGCGTGGTCTTTATAGTCGTGATGTTGCGTCTTGCCACCAGAGACGCGCGGCCGAAGGCCGCCGGCGCGAGCCGCTGGAAAATTGAAGCCCACACGAAATAATGAGGAACAAGAGCACACAACAGCCTTTAAATAGGCCCGAGGGCAGAGGGCAGAGGGAGGGAGCAGAGGGATGGCTAAGGTTCCTCTCTCTCTCTCTCTCTCTCTCTCTCTCTCTCTCTCTCTCTCTCTCTCTCTCTCTCCCTCTCTCTCTCTCTCTCTCTCTCTCTCTCTCTCTCTCTCTCTCTCTCTCTCTCTCTCTCTCTCTCTCTCTCTCTCTCTCTCTCTCTCTCTCTCTCTCTCAAGCAGTCCTGCATTAATAGGGTTCATAAGGTACAGGCATGGCAGGCTAGTGGGAACCCTAGGCATGTAGGCGGACTGGTAGCTAGGCTAGCAAAGCATGCAACCAACAACCAACCAACCAAGACCTAACAACCTGACATCTCTCTCTCTCTCTCTCTCTCTCTCTCTCTCTCTCTCTCTCTCCTCTCTCTCCCTCTCCCTCTCCCTCTCCCTCTCTCTCTCTCTCTCTCTCTCTCTCTCTCTCTCTCTCTCTCTCTCTCTCTCTCTCTCTCCCTCTCTCTCTCTTATCAGTAACTTGAGAGCCAACCAATTTGAAGGCACCATTCCGGCAACATTCTCGGCCCTAAGTGGCCTGACTGAAATGTAAGTTTCATGTGTCCTCCGTACTTCCATTGTCCAACCTTCACTCTGTTTGTCCTTGTCTGTATCCATCGTCCCTTCCTCACTCCGTACACCACTTGTTTCCTGCCCCCCGCTACTGCAGAGACCTGTCGTATAATCAACTGTCTGGTACAATTCCCCCTGCATTTGCCACCAGCATCCAGTCAATGTATGTCACTCTTCCCTCCGCCTCCTGTCAACGTATGTCACTCTTCCCTCCGCCCAGCCAATGTATGTCACTCTTCCCTCCGCCCAGCCAATGTATGTCACTCTTCCCTCCGCCCAACCAATGTATGTCACTCTTCCCTCCGCCCAGCCAATGTATGTCACTCTTCCCTCCGCCCAGCCAATGTATGTCACAAGCCTCACCCCAGGACATTCCACTTCCCATACCTTCATGATGCCGTATATTTTCAAAAATCAGCTTTGCCTCGTTAGATCTTCCAGTCCTTTGTTTCTGTGCTTGGACCCCTACTCTTTTTCAGTCGGAGGTCCAATTTCTTTTGCACAAGGCACAAGCCTCTGGCATCCTTTGACTGCCTCTGCTAACCTTGATGCTTTCAACCAATCATGCAGAACGCCATGCAAAAGTATGGAGCTGCATGTCAACGCGAGTTGGGTGTTGGCCCCGTCCTCGCTTGGGCGGAGCCGACTTCGTGGTCGGATGTAGGGGTGCAGCCGACCTGCAGCAGTGGGCGGGCTGGTCGACGAGGTTGGTCGACCTGCACGGGAGCCATTGCATGGGCGCCGACTTCGGGAGGGCGCCAACTTCGGGTGGTCGACCCGGGACGTCGACCAGCCCTTCTGGGCCGTTCTGGTCGACCAGGAGTGACGTCGACTTGGAGCTGGTCGACCAGGGGTTAGTGGTCGACTTGGGGAGGTCGACTGGAGGTGTCCGTTGACTTGGGAGGTCGACCGGCACGTACCAGAGGCAGTGGTCGACCTGGGAGGTCGACCGGAAGTGGTCGTCGACCTGGGTGGTCGACGGGCACGCACTGGAGCCTCTGGTCGACCTGGTTGCAAGGTCGACCAGGTTACCTGGGTGACGAGGTGCTGCGAAGGCTTGCGATGGTCGCCCAGGTGGTTTTGGCGAGAACGACCTCGGTGATGGTATCCCGAGGTCGACGTGGTGCATCAGAAGCAGTCGTCAGCACGAAGTTGATGTGGTGTGTGCGCTGTGCAGGTGACGAAGCAGTGCGCGCCAATCACCTACGAGCACCTGCGAAGCGGGTGCGATGCTGGACTGCGGGAGCAACGCTGGCACGCCGTCGACTTGCACGGTTGTCACGCCGTCGACCTGCAGCGTTGGCAAGCCGCGTCTCTGCACTGCTGGAGCGCGGTCGACCAAGTCGTGCTGGCACGCGGTCGACCGTGCTGCGCTGGCAGTCGACCTGTTTGCATCCTAGCTCTGATGTAGTCTTGCCTAGCCAACTTCATTGTATCATTGTTGTCAACTTTCTCTAGTGAAACTCTTGCCAAATTGCCTTGTGAACTAGCAAGTAGTGTGCGCACTAGGAAAACGACTAAGGACCAACGAACGCAGAGATCACACGAGCATCCGTGCCTAGCCCGTAGTCTAGCTCCCGTTACTAGAGTTATCTCCGCACTGCAGACTTATGCAACCTCACTTGCGAAGTAGCCACCCGCCATTCCAGTGGAATGGTCTGCACCAGTGCTTTCACACAGGCTTACGAACAAATTCCTGAATTCCAGCTCCATGCCATATAACGAGGCTTCCACGCAAACTACTCCGATTTCCTTCCCAACCGTAACCCAAACCACTTCCCGTCAAGTTCCAATCACCCCTATGTGATTCCCAATCACTTCGTTGCTGGTTCGATATCTCACATTTCAACACCACCAACATTTCAACAGTTGCTGCTGTATGGCTTCGTGCCTTACCTTGCCATGCCAAGCCACAACAACCACCCCATTCTCACTTCCTGTTTTTCCCTCTTTTGATCTGTGCAGCATTTTCACGTTTACTTCAGTTTTCCATCCGCCCTTCTCTTCCGTCTCTCTTGTCTTGATGTGACCATCAGGCCCTTCAACCCTTCCCCCCCACCTTGCACTCCATCTTCACTTTGTACTTTCAAAACCTTATTCCCCATGGCCTCTTCTCTCCCACCTTTCACTTATTCCTCATGGCGTCGCATCCTTTGCTCCACTCTTCTTCCCCTTCCTCTTGTCGCCTCCTGTCTTGTCTGCCCATCCCACAATAACTTCACTGGGCCCATCCCACCACACCTGCTGGCTCTGCCCAACCTCTCTAATCTGTGAGGCCCCCATGTTTGCTCATCTTTACACACTCATCTTCCAACCTCCAGACCCATTCACCCTTTGGGCTCTCCTCCCACCTGCACTCTCGGTCTCACCCCATTTCTCAAATCTTGTGTCACTCCCTTTCTAATCTGCAATGGTTCCTCTCGGCTGCCCTGGCTGCAGTGAGCTGTCCTACAATCAGTTCACAGGAGCCATCCCCAGCCACTTCACTCGCCTCACTGAGATGTTTACTTTGTATGTGTCTCCCCAAGCTGAGCTCCAGTCCAGGGAGTTTTGAGAATCCTCAAAAACTTCACTGAGATGAAACATCTGTATGTGTCTCTCCAAGCTGCGCTCCCCCCCCATATACCTCTCCCTGCCCCCACCCCACTACATGACATTGCTGCATGAACAGAATTAATTGGAGGGCCTCATGTGTTACTGATTGTTCTTTGCTGTGCCTCGTTTGACCATAGTTGCAACTTTCCCAGCATTAAGCTGGTTGCCTATATCTATGTGTGTGTGTGTGTGTGTGTGTGTGTGTGTGTGTGTGTGTGTGTGTGTGTGTGTGTGTGTGTGTGTGTGTGTGTGTGTGCGGGCATGCGCGTGCGTGCCCGGGCTCCACGTGACAGAGACATTTCTTTCAACAATCTCAGCTCAGGCCTTGACGTGGTGGCTCAGATGACATGGCTCCAAGAGATGTGAGTCCTCTCCCCTCCCCTCTTCACCACCTCAGCTGGCCCTCACCCTGCTTCCTTTTCCTTCCCTCACCCTGCTTCCTTTTCCTTCCCTCACCCTGCTTCCTTTTCCTTCCCTCATCCTGCTTCCTTTTCCTTCCCTCACCCTGCTTCCTTTTCCTTCCCTCATCCTGCTTCCTTTTCCTTCCCTCACCCTGCTACCTTTTCCTTCCCTCACCCTGCTTCCTTTCACCTTGCTTTCCATCGCTTCCCTTGGTCCACTTTGGCTGCTTGCAACATCTGAGCTAGGACCCTCTCTCTTCTGTACTGGCTAAGCAGACTGATCAATAACAACAACTTCTCTGGTGTGCTTCCCGCGTCCTTCACAGCAATCAGTTACCTCGGTTCTCTGTGAGTCCTCTCGATCAATCTCTCAACTCATCAATGCAACAACCCCGTTCATGGAACTTAATCGGGTAGGTGGGATGCTGCAACAGTAAGCGTTGTGACTGCCCCTGTTCTAAGTTCACCTGAGTATTTGTGCGCCCGTGCTTCGGTTATCAATTCATGTAGCCTTGTGTTCCAATTCATGCTGGATGTGTGCTTGTTGTTGTACAGTTTCATATCTTCACTCACACAACTGTTTTCCTGCCTTCATATGCAAGTGCCAAAGCACGTATGCAGTGGCCTGTACATGAGTGAATGTGCTTTCCTAAGTATTTGTTTCATTATTTCCCAACCACGCTGTGGGCCTCATTAAGGGATGTTGGAAACAACCATTTCACAGGAACCTTCCCAGATTTTATTCTGCGCCAGACGGGCCTTACATTCCTGTAAGACATCCACTTGTGGCCTTGAACAAAAGCGGGTTGCACTAAAGGAGCAAGAACGCAAGCAAAGCAAAGCACCGAGCCGAACCGGCTCGCTCTCGTTTGCTTCGTTTCCAGCGGAACTGCGCATAAGAGCCTTTTATTCCTGTAATGCATCCATGCGTGACCTCAAACAAAGGCGGGTTGCACTGATAAAGTAGCTGCTGCCATTTCTTGCAGTAGTTCCTCCTACCTGAACAACTCAAATGGCAATCGCAATCAAAATGGTCATGGCAGGAACTTGGCCAACAACAGTTTCACAGGGACTATCCCCCGCTAATTGACCAAGCTTGTCGGCCTTCACTACCTGTAAGTTGCACTACTGCGAACTGTAGCGGGGTTGAGGATCTGTTCAGCCTTGTGCTTGAATTTCTGAGGCCACTTTGATCGAGGCTCTTGATTGTTACCATTGTGCAGAATCCTCAATGACAACAATTTCCATGGATCTTTCCCATCCGGGCTGCTTCGGCTACCCAGTTTGAACTGGCTGTAAGCAGCTCCAGTACACATGTTTCAGAAGAATCTCTTCTCCCGCCTTGTCTTTCTCTCAACTAAAGGGTAAATATTACTATCCCTGATATGTCAAATGGTATTTTGCAAGCACTTTGCTCCACTGCCAAACACCAAAATCAGGAGTTCGCATGCTACCTGCTTTGTTTGTTTCTCCTTGCATCTCTCAAGTTTCCAACTCAGACATGTGCATTGAGTCGAGTTTCGAAACTCAACTCGTTTGGGGGACTCGTCACGGGTCGAGTGTCGAGTGCGAGAATCCTCTGGAAAAAAACTTGACCGAGCCAGGTTGAGTTTTACTCGTCGAGTTTTTGAAAAACAACCGCATGTCTGTTCCAACTTTCCACCCCAAGCTCATTGTCAGCCTCGTAGAGGCCACGATTCATTCATGTGCTTAGGGAGTATCCTTGGTTTTGTAACTGCTGCATCCAGCCTCCTCTTTAATTTCCGAACCCAGGAAAGTATCTAACAACTCTCTTTCTGGGGAACCCCCACGGACTCTCAGGGTCACAACTTTTCTTGGCAAACTGTAAGAAGTTGAAGCACTGTGTGCTGCCACCACTGTGTGTGTTGCCACCATTGTGTGTTCCTGGTGCAACACTGTACCTTCATGGTTAACTTTTATGGAATCTTCGTCTTCTTTTGAATTGTGTGCAGTGACCTGGGTGGAAACGACTTCACGGGCTCCTTACCAGACTTCTCACGCTGGAATATCACCTGTGCAGAGATGTAATATAAGTTTTCTCACACTCTCTTCCTCCTTTTCTCACTTTAAACAACGCTTGCTCAATCTTGGCCTCAGCATCAGGGTGCAAAATTGCGCCTCTTTTTGATTTTTGGGCGTAAAAATCACGGACAATATTTTCACCCGAACTTTTCGAGAGTTTTGGTCTGAAAAAAAAAGAAATCGTATCTTGGTGAAAAACTTTGAGTGTTCAAAAAAAAAATCTAAGAGATTGTCAAAATTCGATGGGTGGAAATCTAACTTGCATTCTGCTTCCAGATCTGTGCAGATCGGCGCTTTCACCCGCTCTGCACAGAGCCTGGGCAAAAATAGGTACCTGTACCGACTCGGGGGCGGGTCAGGCGTGACCCGGTCCTTTAAGGCCCGGTCGGGTCAGGATTTAGGAAACTCCGACCTAGGACGACTGGACCTGACCCGAACTGGTACCCGTCTAACCCAAGCCCAAATCGGGTCAGGTCGGGTCGGTTGGGTCACCCATAGTAAGCTGTAGCGTTCACCCCACTCACGACAGGCTATCTCGCTGCTGCCTCGCCTGTGTTGTTTGTGGCGCAGAAATCTCAGCGGCAACAACTTCACAGGGTCGATTCCCGACTCCATCTCCACCCTCACCACCCTCATTGGCCTGTGAGCCTCCTCTTCTCTTCTTGTGCCACAACGAGCCAAAACACATGCCTTGGCATAGCAATGTGAGCCTTCTGATGCCTGCCATGAGCACATATCCATGGAGCTTTTCCCATCTGAACAAGGTGGGTTGTTTTGTACAGAAGTCACCGTCGAACCTTTGCAGTGGCACGCAGCCAATGGCATGAGAAAGGTAGCAGTGGCAGCCTATGCACACAAGCAGCTACATACGCTTAATTCGCACTTCCATTCAATGTACCCTGTTGCTATTCCCTGCTCTGCAGTTTTCTCAACAACAACCAGTTGACTGGCACCATCCCTTCAGCCATCTTCACCATGAGGAATCTGACATACATGTAAGCCTCGTGTGTTTAGGGATCCCCTTTCTGAGTGCCCATCACACGTTCCTACCTCTGCCCAATGGTACTTTCCTTTCTTGCACCAGCCTGCACTCCTCTTGCATACGCTGCTTCTCATCGGAATGTCTCCCTGCCATTGCTGTTGCTCTTCAGCTACTTGGCCAACAACCATCTGAGTGGCAGCCTTCCAGCTGCCATCAGCCAACTGGAGAATCTTGAACAGATGTAAGCGTGCCATGTGCCTTCCTCTACATTCCTCCTCTACTATTTCAAAGAACAATGGCAGTTTAGGAAGCAACACACACAGCACATGCATAAGCTTGCAGTACATCGTTACCATAACAGACCTAGCAAACTTCCACACCATGAAATGAACACAAGAGACCAAAACACGCAAGCATCACCTGTGCCATCCCCACTCCACCCCCTGCTCTTTATGGAATTGTTTTCGTCTTTGTTCCTGCCAATTCTATGTATGTCTCCCTAGCTGGTTGGACAACAACAACATTGAAGGCCCTCTGCCAACTAGCATGTGCTCGCTGCCCTGGCTGTGGCGCCTGTGAGTGACAGTCATACACTTGATAATTTTTTTTTTGGAGTTTTTTTTTTTTTTTAAGGAATTCTTTCTTACGGACCTTTAAAAAAAGGGAAAAAAAAAATATCTCCTGTTTTCATGATTTTGGAGATTGTTAAAACGTATGAAGTAGTTTCAGTTTTGTGTTGTGTGTTTGCCTTTTTGTGTGGGTGTGCGACTCATGGCGCGGCATGGTGTGTGCCGTGCTGCTTGCAGCATGATCAGCAACAACTCCCTCTATGGACCCCTGCCAGACTGCCTCTTTGACAATTGTATCACACAAATGTGAGCCTACCATGCATACTCTATTCTCAGTACCATCCATGACAGCTCGCACCCTCAACATGGGCATTGCACAGACATCATTATCTGGTGGGACGGCCTCCGATCAGGCACTCAATATCATCTCCTGCCCTCCGTGATCCCCCTGTGCTTTCCGCAGTGATGTGAGCGGCAACAGTCTGTATGGGCGCATCAACCGCGACTTTAAGAACATGCTGACGACCAGCGGTGCCCCCGTTCGCACCTTCATCGAGGGCATAGCGGCGGATGACAGTCCCCTCGTCAACTTGGCTCACAACTTCTTCTTTGGCGATGGGGTGCTCTTTGCTGCCGGCTGCAAGGTCTGCCCCTTCGAGATCAACGAGCCCAACAACCTGTACACAAGGGACACCACAGCATGGCAAGAGTTTGGTGGCAAGTGCGGCAGTCTTGCTCTCGTGGATGAGCAGGGCAAGACGGCGAGGGTGAGTCTGTCGGGCAACTGCCTAACCCTCACCCCGAACAAGAAGTGCTCATCCAACGCCACCCAGCGCAGCACGGCAGCCTGCCAGGCGTTCTGCAGCATCACTGCCAACGGCCCGTGTGACGGCCATGGGGCGTGTGTGCCGGCTGCCCCCGCCTCCCTCTCCAACTTCACCTGCCTCTGTGATGCCGGGTACAGTGCTGTCGACTCGAGCAACGGCTCCTCCACATGTGCCATCGTCCACTCCACCACCACCACCAACACTGGTAACTAACCTTGTTTCATGCTAACATCTCCACAGCACCACCTCATTCCTATGTTCCACTGTCCACTCCACCACCACCACCAACATTGGTAACTAACCTTGCTTCATGCTAACATCTCCACAGCACCACCTCATTCCTATGTTCCACTGTCCACTCCACCACCACCACCAACATTGATAACTAACCTTGCTTCATGCTAACATCTCCACAGCACCACCTCATTCCTATGTTCCAATGTCCACTCCACCACCACCACCAACATTGATAACTAACCTTGCTTCATGCTAACATCTCCACAGCACCACCTCATTCCTATGTTCCACTGTCCACTCCACCACCACCACCAACACTGGTAACTAACCTTGCTTCATGCTAACATCTCCACAGCACCACGTCATTCCTATGTTCCACTGTCCACTCCACCACCACCACCAACACTGGTAACCCTTGCTTCATTCTTACAGCTCCACAGCACTGCCACATTCCTATGTTCTGCACCAATAACCACGTTTCATGAGGCTTCTGCGATACACACGTTTGTCACCGCCCCATCTCCATTCCTTGGCAGTGTCGTCCCTGTCCACGGGTACCATAGTGGGCATTGTTCTGGGCTGCTTTGCTGGCTTCACTCTGCTGGCTGCAATGGTCGCATGGCTGCTGTGGCCCCGCGGACCAAGTGAGCCCCTCGTCCCTTCTTCAGTCATATTCCGTTCCCTCCATTGCGGCACCACTTTCCTGGCTCCCTTCCTTGCTCCCCTGCCATGCCATTTTTCCTGCACTACTACTCTGCCTCTCCACTGCCCTTGTGCTCTGTCCATGCAAATATACCCTTGGACGCTCACACCTCTGGTATCACGTTTTTTTCTGTGCACAGAGAAATGGGAGGGGTTGGACGTGTGTGAGCAATTTACGCTGCAGCAGATGCTGAGTGCCACCAACAATTGGTCAGAGGATAACGTGCTGGGCAAGGGAGGCTTTGGCATTGTCTACAAAGGCCGCTCGCCACAGGGCCAACTGTGGGCCATCAAGCGATCCACCATCATGACCAACGACTTTGAAACGGAGGTGAGGCATGCCTCTAGTTCCCTGTGCACGAGAAAAGACGTCACGAGACGACACGGCACTCGCTGCTTCCCAAATTGTTGATCTCGTTCCATGTGTGCCGAGCCATTGCCTCTCTCAACAACAAGAGAAGACACGGCATTCTCTGCTTCCCAAAATGCTGACTCTGCTAATGCATGTCTCACTTTTTCATGCCCATGTGTATCTGCCTCAAGGTTCAAAATTACGGTTTTCGTAAAATACGGTCCGTTTTTTACGGTCGTTTTTTACGGTGATTTTTAAAAAAAACGGCCGTTTTTTTGTTAGAGAACTCTGTTCACCAAGAAAAAAAAGAGGAAAACAAGGGTAAAAACATTTTCAATCATGCAAACAAGCGCATACATGCAAGAAGGGTTCCATCCCCTTCATGCTGCTGCATTTCGGGTTCAATTTGGTCCCACTAAGTGGCCGTTTTGTTAGTTATAGAGGAAACACCTCCTGGAACCGTTTTAAACCGTTTTTTATAACCGTTTTTTACGGTACCGTTTTTTACGGTAAAATTTCAATAAAACGGTCGTTTTTTTTAACCCTGATCTGCCTGCTTGTTGCAGGTGCGAGCCATGGCCTCTCTCCACCACACACACCTCGTGCGCCTGCTGGGCTTCTGTCTGGACCAGAACGTGGAGACGGGCAAGCAGGAGCAGATCCTCGTGTACGAGTTCATGGCCAACAGGGACCTGCAGTACCACATCCACAGGACCAAGTGTGAGTTGCACTAACACAATGGCAAAGTGGTTGCACTGGCACAATGTTTATGGCCAACAGGGACCTGCAGTACCACATCCACAGGACCAAGCGTGAGTTGCACTAACACAATGGCAAAGTGGTTGCACTGGCACAATGTTTATGGCCAACAGGGACCTGCAGTACCACATCCACAAGACCAAGCGTGAGTTGCACTAACACAATGGCAAAGTGGTTGCACTGGCACAATGTTTATGGCCAACAGGGACCTGCAGTACCACATCCACAGGACCAAGCGTGAGTTTCTCGGTGCGCTGGCGTGATGGCTAGATGTTTTCCATGTATTTACGGCCAAGAAGCAGGAGCTAATCCGTGTGTACGAGTGTACCATATCCATGCGAGCAAGCGTGAGTTGCACAGGCATGATGGCTGAATGGTTACCATTCATCTGCATTTTGCCCATGACATGAAACCGTTATTCATAGATTCACCCTTTTTGTTCCGTCTTCATGTTTCCTGACCCAGGTCCACTCTCGCTGCGCCAGAGGTTGCGCCTGGCACAGGGAGCAGCAGAGGGTTTAGCTTACCTGCACGGGTTTGACACACCCATCGTTCACCGCGACATCAAGCCGGCCAACATCCTTGTGTCTGCCGACATGCAAGCCAAGGTGGCTGACTTTGGGCTGCTCAAGCGCCTCACTCACGGCGATGCTGACGCCACACGAGTGGCCGGCACTCCAGGCTATGTGGATCCGGATTACAACCGCACCAACGTCATCACTGTCAAGAGTGATGTGTTCAGGTGAGCATGCAAGCTTGTTCCTTTGCACAACACGTTAGCCTTGTGCACCTCGGTTTGTTCATCTTCCTTGTTATGTTCAATACATGTACCCTGTACCTCTCTTCGTTTTCTGCCATGTTTATTCCTCTTTCTCCAATGCATAATTGCTGGCAGCTTTGGAATCGTGCTTCTTGAGTTGCTGAGTGGAAAGACGACCCGAGTCAACACAAAAACGCATACAACGCATATAAGCATTTGGGTATGCTCGACAAGTTTGGAATTGGCAAGGGAAAAAAATTTACGAGAAAAAGCTGTAGAATTTCAAATCCGTATCTGGCCTCAGTATTCTATGGCCGCACATTATCCTTATTTCCCTTGCACGCTCGTTTTCACTGCCTTTCCTTGCTGTCATGCTGCCTTCCACTCCCTTTCCTGGTTATCATGCTGCTTAGCACCGCCTCTCTCATCATCACCCTTTTTTGCGGGCATGCCCTCCAGGCTATGGAGCTGTTGCGGACATATGAGCTAGTAGATCTGAGGGACAGCAAGATGCCAGCGGCAAGCGAGGAGGCCATAGTGGACTTTGCAGACCTGGCTCTGGACTGCATCAAGTCTCCCGGCACACGGCGACCCACCATGAAGGATGTGGCATACCGCCTCAGTGCCCTCATTAGCAAGCACTGCCCCGACAAGGAGGATGAGTGGGAGAATGTTGTGACAGAAGAAGGGACAAGCAACCAAGGGGCGCCTTCTGAGTCGTCTGGAGATGGAGGGAGGGAGCCTGAGAGGTCTCATAGCTCACAGTCTTCTGTGATCTCATTCACGGGTACTTTCTCTATGAGTGATAGCCTCAAGAGCTGGCTGCAAATGAAGCCAGCCAAAGAGCGTTGAGTTTGCCCATGATGACTGCATGTTGGCTGCTTAGCATGGAGGAACAAGAATTCGGGGTATAGGTAGGTGGTACACTAATAAAGAAGGATCTGGTGCCGACTCATCATGCACCAGTGTGAATGGCTGGCCTGATATTGTATCAGTTGAGAGGTAGGAGGAGACACATTTCCATGATCCTTGGATCTGGAAGCAAGAATGGCATGAGATGAGAGTCAACCGAGCTTTGTGTTGCACATGGGAGGCATACTACACTGAAAGCCATTGGCACTTGCATTACATTAATGTGCAAACTCGTTGGCTTCCCACGAGGCTGCCATTCATGATGGTGGATGGACAGAAAACAACCTGGCATGGATTGCAGGAAAGGTGAGTGAGCAGAGCGGTGAGCCGCATAAGTTTGGAACGAAATATATGCCAAGCCATGTAGCAAGAGGTTTGCCCAACAAGCAGCCCACAATGGCAGTGACACCATGCCACCTTCGCTCTTGTCATCCTTACCAGTTGTCATTGTCATGCCATGTCATCATGCCCGCCACTATCCTTCAGAACCGTGATGTGTCTATCCTTCAGAACAGGTCCAATGTTCTTTACCAGAAATGCCTGCGGATTGTAAACCCCGTGATTTTCTCCACCAGTGGCCTGCAGGGAGGGGAGGGGCGTGCAAAGAGTTTTGAGGCACCTAAAAGATCCTTTCTCGGTGCGGGCAGGCCCAGCACTGAGCGGATCGTAGACCCCGTGATGCTCTCCACCAATGGCCTGCATGGACGAGAGGCACGTGGAAAGAGGCATGCAGGAAAAGGAGCTCACTGTCAAGACCAGAGTGAGGTGGATGATACGGCACGATGCCTGATCCTTAGGATGTCAGCACATGAATTCAATACAGCACAAAACAGATGAAATAAACAATAACAATAACAAAAATGTGGTTTTACGAAGGCTCGATCAAAACGAACCCAAACTGGTTCGGTGCTTGGACGCACACAATCCAGTCGACTCGTCTGGATGACTCCGCTTCGCTTGTCTGGTTGACTCTACTCGTAAGGATGACTCTACTCGTCAGGATGACTCTAATCGTCAGGATGACTCTACTCGCCAGGATGACTCGACTCGTCTGGATGACTCTACTCGTCAGGATGTCTCTACTCGTCAGGATGACTCTAGTCGTCAGGATGACTCGACGACTCGTCTGGATGACTCTACTGGTCAGGACGTCTCTACTCGTCAGGATGACTCGTCTCGTCAGGATGACTCGTCTCGTCAGGATGACTCTACTCGTCAGGATGACTCGGCTCGTCTGGATGACTCGGCTCTCCTGGATGACTCCTCTCGTTTAAGGGACACCATTCTTTCTTGAGGCCTAGCTTATTAAAAACCATCATCCTGCTGGGCTGCAATCTTCCAAGGGGCTCGTCTCCGTTGAAGGGCTTAGTTCGTCTTCACCTATCTGCTCGTACTAGGCCAACTTGTTGGGCCCACTTTTGAGGCGCCTCTGATGTTGGTTCCACCTTTGAGGTGCCTCACAATCTCTGCTCGTGTCTTTTCAAGCCAAGC